CATATCGCCGACCATCTTATCTGCACAACCTTCTTTTTTACAGGTGGGTAGCTGCGTCAGCATGCGTAGGCTGCAAAGGAACAAGTAATAGGTTTATTCCATGCTGAAAAAAAGAAGAAAGAGAACACAACGTTTCGGCCGTGGAGCCTTCTTCAGGTGTGAGAGAGACAGGGCAGGGCTTCTTTTTTACAGCTCCCTTGACCGCCCACAGCAATTATCCACACCAGTCACTTTCTCCAGCAACGGAACTTGCAGTATCACCTGTTAATATATCACATTCAAGGCCCCTCTGGACAATTCCAGATCACCCAGATGACATCATGTATTTCCAGCAACCTTATTTACTGCATCTCTTGCAGAAAATGCCCAGCTATTTACATTGGGGAAATGGGAAGGAGACTGGAAGATTGTTTCAGGGAACATGTCAGAGCTGTGAGGATCAAAGATCTCTCCAAGCCCATTTCACCTTTAATGGCCATGATCATACCGACCTCGCCGTCTGCGTCCTCACAGAGGGGTTCAGAACTCCTATTGCACCAAAATTGTCCTGAAACTAGGATCACACCTTCTCTTAACGACGTCTTTCCTTCTAATCATCTCTATTCATTTGCAAGTTTTGATTTCACATCTCTATTCCAATTCTTCCAGAGTGTTGATAGTTCTTATCTCATGCTCCCTGCCTCCTCTCCTCTACCCTGTGTTTTGATCTCCCTTGCTTTATTAGCTGCTGGTTTCCCTCTCTCTCACACACACCTGATGAAGTCTCCACAGCCAAAACATTTTGGCTCTTTTCTTTTCTTTTCATCATGGAATAAACCGTTACCTGATTCTTTGCAGCCTATTCATGATCATGCAGTTACCTACTTGAACTTATTTAAATTTTGTATACTGTATACAACATACAAAAGGATTTGCATTCATACAGCATAAAACCCAAAACCAAGTGTAAAATATATTGTATTATGCAATCATGCCTTATTTCTCCGCAAGTGCTGAAATTCAATAGTTGTTGGGAACAGCATGATATAGAATCCCAATTCTAAAAGTAATAATAATGGACACAAACTGAGGGTTAGAACTCTGTGGACACCTGGAAAGCTTTGTTAAATGCACCCCAGAAATGGAAAAATTGGCATAAACTACTTATTTCTAGGAAAATTTCAAAAACCTTCATGAAAGAGACAAATTATATTTCAGAAAAATGTTCCTCTCTGCCTTAAATCACATCTGTACAGTTTGTCCTTCAGTCATTCTGTTTTAGTATGTTGCCCATAATGTTGAACATTATTCTTATCAAAACCTAATCATTTCCATTGCATTTATAAGTCACTAGCAGTCTTCTTTTTCAATTTCCTGCCAACCATTCTTTAATGTTTAGTCTTTCAAACAACCTGTTACCTCATTCAATTTTGGACATCTTTTTATACACGTTTATTTAAAAAATATATTTTTTAATCTTTTTCTTATGAACTTCCTTAAGATTCCCCTTGTTAAATGTACACTTTTTTTTACAGACTTGTCATTTATTAAGAGGGTGTGTTGTGGATATGTGCACAAACATGTTTTATGTCTGTAACGAAAGCGTTCTTTCCGGACCCTATGCAGACGACACGATCCTGGGTTGAGTGAGAAACACAGGGGAAAATGGCATGCAGGATACGGGGATGAAAACAGGGGGCGTGTCCTTGGTGTGCTGGTGGTCGGGGGAGGTGTGGCCAAGGCGAACAATCCAGAGAGGAATCAAAAGGAGAATCCACGATGGAGCGAAAGTCCAAAGCCGGGCAGTCCATCCAAGACAAACAGGATAAAAACAGGAACCGAGTCACGGTCCATCCTAGACAAACGATTAAAAACAGGAACCGGCACGGGAATGGGAACAAATACAGCCACTTAAAAGCATAACGGGGCCAGGCGCTTACAGGTCCCGGACTCACCTGGTATGGAAACCAGAGCTGAGCAAGGAATAATGTCAGTGTCTGGCTTTTAAGGGGGGCTGGAAGGAGGCTGGAACAAGGGGCAGGTGCACAAAATCAGGTCCGAAGTGAAAGAGCCGGAGCGCCCTTAAGGGGGAGGGACTACAATCGTGACAATGTCCTTTCTTGGAATGATTCTCTCTTAGTTACTCTATATTCCTCTTGAATATTGTTTCACACTGTTCATTGGTTTATATCTGAGTTAATTCAGGTTATTTAAACTTTCTAAAGTCTCCTAACCTGTGTGGATATTAAGGTGAGACATTTCTGAGGGGTGTGTGAGCCTTCATTTGTTGGCAATTCCTCATGATTGAGAATAGTTGTCTTTTATTAACCTAAAGTTGACTAGAAAGACCAATACAGGATACAATTTTTGTTATGCCACATACATCATCATCAGGTTACTGGAATTGAATTACTCATGTTCAGTTAGTTTTCATTTTTTATAATTGAAAATGAAAATTATTTACACATCTGGTAAGTCAGCTACACTTCAGAAGGCTGTTATGAAATGCAATATGGCTCTCCAATATGCTGAAAATAGTTTAAGGTCAATGACACACCTTTCTGTGACTCCTGTTTGGACCTAAAAGACCTTTGTCAAGTCAGAAAATGCTAAGTAGGGAGGTCGATGATGTACCCAACATCTGTCCTAAATTTGACAGGCTGTAAAAACCATTTCCACTGTGCCTCTTGAGATTCTGACCCTGCATTGGGAGGGTCAATGAGAACATCTTCAGCAGGACAACAAGAGCATCATTCCAAGAAAGGATCATTTAGGAGAAAACCTTTAATGATTGTACGTTGGGGCTGGAAGATGTCCATGCACAACTTTTTATTGTAGAGAAACCATTGATTCACCAGCTTTCACACAAATCTTCACAACACGTTACCTTGATCCAAATGGCATAGAGGCAATAGTAATTGGAGGTTTCATTCTGCTGCCACCTTCATCCACCATAAGAGGGGTTGAGTAATTCCAGCTAATTTTCTGTTGCCTGGTTTGTTGTTGAGGACTTGGTTGCCAGAGCCCTGTTTGCTGAGGAATTTGAAACGTATAGTTCGGAACATTTGGAGTAAAATTCATTCACTGTCAGTGAATATTAATACTATTCAAGACTATGGTGATCCTAATCAGGACCAGTCATCCTGCCTAGATCTCCTCAAGAGCAACCTGGAAAATCATCCAGTTCTATGTGGAAGTAACGACCAAACATCATAAAAGCTGATGTGAGATAAACAGTTAATAAACTTTAAGAGTTAATAAACAGTTGCACAAAATGTCTCGTTGAGGTCTTTGCTACTAAAGAAGGTGCCACCAGCCTACTTAATGTACATGTTTACATATTTATTCATATTTATAGTTATCAGCCATATCACCCAGCAACTCACAACTGGCAACCCACTGAAGCTAAGCAGATGTGATCCTGGTCAGTACCTGGATGGGAGACCTCCTGGGAAAAACTAAGGTTGCTGCTGGAAGAGGTGTTAGTGGGGCCAGCAGGGGTTGCTCACCCTGCGGTCCATGTGGGTCCGAATGCCCCAGTATAGTGACGGGGGCACTATACTGTAAACAGGCGCCGTCCTTCAGATGAGACGTAAAACCGAGGTCCTGACTCTCTGTGGTCATTAAAAATCCCAGGGCGCTTCTCGAAAAGAGTAGGGGTGTAACCCCGGTGTCCTGGCCAAATTTCCAATTGGCCCTTACCAATCATGGCCTTCTAACAATCCCCCTCTATGAATTGGCTACATTACTCTGCTCTCCTCCCCACTGATAGCTGATGTGTGGTGAGCGTTCTGGCGCACTATGGCTGCCGTCGGATCATCCAGGTGGATGCTCCACATTGGTGGTGGTGGAGGGGAGTCCCCATTACCTGTAAAACGATTTGAGTGGAGTGTCCAGAAAAGCGCTATATAAGTTTAAGCAATTATTATTATTATTATTATTATTCATACTGTATACATATGTTTATTTATTTATTATTCGGATAGGACTTTTGGATAATTTGTTAACTGAATAATCCAAATACAATACTGTACTGTATATCATATGTTCAATCAAGTCCTCCTAATCTTTTAATAAGACTTTCTTAAGATCTAATTGTGTTTTAACTTTAAAATGAATGATAATATAGACATTATCAGTGGTTTACTTTTTCACTGAATTATAAATAAAATTGTTTGACCTTTTTTCACAAGCCTTTTCGGTACGATTTCAGTATGATGTAGGTGACCCCACAGTTTCTCCTGCCAACATGCAGTATAAATGTACAAGAAGTTCATCATATAGCCTATTAAAGACTCTTAGAATAAAAGCCATCTTAATCTGGTTTAGGGATGAAGAGATTAATTCATCCCTAAAGAAGAGATTAATTCTGATAGCAGTGGCTCGGGCAGTTCTGTGACATGCATCTGGCCTGATCGATGGTTGGGCCAGGGGCAAACTGATGAGTCTATACATCAGTGTGTTGATTAATGTCCTAATTGTCAAAGCCACTTTAAGAGTCTACTTTCATCTTTTCTTCTTGTCTTGTATTATTACATTACACATTCCCTGTAGCAATATCTGCATTACCTTTAGTAGCAGGGCTTTAAAGACTATACATATGTGGGGTAGGGTCAATTTCAAAATAAATAAACTGTACTGTGTTGTTCTTTGTTATTTGAAAAGCTGCCAGTGAAACAAAGAATTTGACTAGTGGGAAAACTCTTTTCAGTTTAAATTAAGCTATTAGTTCTGAAACAAGTGTTTATTCTATTGCAAATTGATGCTTGGGTTATTTTAATATTAGTTAAGTTTTTTACTTACATGAAATTCATCAGATTGCATGTGATTTAATTTTAATTTGTCACAAAAACAAAAAGCTGGTTACCTACGGTAGAAGTTGTAGTTACAACAACAGCATACTGTATCATTTTAGAGTAAACATAAAAGGTTTCACATTCTCTATAGTAAGTAAACCTGCATTAGTGCATCTCTCATGTCAGCACATGTGTCTCAACTCTGTCCTCTGGGTTTGTCTTCAGGGCTCCAAGACGTCACGCTGGGCTGATCCTGACCACTTTGCCCAGCGGCAGGCCTGCATGAACTCCTTCAGCAGCTGGTTCGGGTTCATGCCCTTGTTGCACTCACAAATGAGACTGGATCCTGTGCTGTTCAAGGACCAGGTGTCCATCCTGAGAAAGAAGTACAGGGACATTGAGAAGCTTTAGAAGGAGGGAATGGATTTGTTTTAATGCTGGGATACAAATGAAAGATCAGCCCATTTTTTAGTAGAGTTTGAAATGTTGCTTGGTTGCCTCAACTATCATGATCTACTCTTACTTGACCTGTATATTATAGATTATTACAAATATGCAACAACTGACCATTTTCTAATAATTGTGGTCTGGGTACTGATTATCCAGGAAACATTGTACAATGTGTGGTACCTGTGAGTTGGATTCCAAGGAATTGTGGTAGATTAATCATGATCATTAACATTGAACAGATTGCTGTGATTATCAGCCTCCTTTAAAGAAAATCCATTTGGATATAACTTGTTACATCTTGAAGGCAAAAGAAAAGATCTCGCCACTGATGCCTTCAAAGCATCCTTCCATTTTCTTGCAGAATTATGGAGAAAAAACACAGAAGAATGCAATGGAAGAGTCGATAAAACCTGGAAAAGAAGTACTTCAGCATTGTATCTGTTGCTTTTATATGGTTTCATTACTGGGGCTTCCAAATGAGAAATCCATTTTTGGCTGCTCTACTTTCCTTTATGCTTTATTGCCAAAAACAGTTCCTGATAAACATGTTAAGGTGGTGGGTACGTAGTTTTTCTGGCTCAAAACTGTGATCACTAATTGTTTCTCTGTGACTGATGAGTCAGTGTTACAAAAATAAGTTTCTAGGATTATGGGAAGAATATGATACAAATAACCTTTTTTGTTGTTTTTGTCTTTGTCCACAATACATTTACACAGTGTAGAACCTCCAAAACAAGGGTGATAATATCTAAACTAAATCTATACAAGGGGTCATACTTAACTGTAAAATCTTGTAAAACTTTGCTGGACATAAAATTGTTGTTCTTTTAAAGTGAACAACATTAATTATTACCTTAAATTTAGTGGAAATGTATAAACAAAAGGTTTTTCATCTGGCATTTAGGATCCACTTGTGCTTTGGGTTTGTTCCATCTTCTCTCTTACTTATTTATGCTCATCAATTGATATTTGAACTGTTTTTTATTATTTTGTTTTATTGGTTATTGGTTTATTAGTTTTGCAATATTCTGTTTTATGTGTATTTCTTACTTGTCAGATATTCCTCAACCTTTTATAAATAAATGATTGCACCCCAATAAGCTATCTAAACATTTCTTGTTAAGTTACCAATTGGTGATGTCCTGACAAATTCACTGTATCAGATACCTGAATCATAAATGTTACTCAATTGCACATGCTCAGCAGATTAATTTCCAAAAACCTAATTTTTGCCTAATTTCTGAAGCAGTTAAAACCTAAATGGTAGTAGTTACAGTAGTAACTGAAGACAATTTACAAAAAAACATGGGAGACAAGTCAGTGGGTCTCTTTTTTCAATATTTAAATGGCCCTTTGTATATCCAATACATGTATGTTGATATATGTTTTATCTGCGTTTTAAATAAAAGAAAAATATTTCTTATGTGAAGTCACATAATGCATTCACATACTGTAACTCAATTCTGGATACGCTGAACAGTATGAACCTCCTGAAATGTGATTTTTAAGGAAAACATAATTGTTTTCATTTTATACTGTTTGGTGCCATGGAATACAAGTCAAACGAATGAAACACCAGGATATCACAGTCATATTCTTCTTTCGCTCCACCTATGTTTGTAGTTAGTACATTAAGCAGTTTGCATACATTAATTACAGATGATTACTCTGCAGTTAATGACTAAAAGATACAGTACACTATTAAAATGATGGTGTCTAAGAACCGTGTAAGAAAGCAGTCTTTATTGGGCTGAAACCTGGGAAAAATCACAAGTGTGTTAAACTAAACAAATAATGAGCTCAATTAAGTAAGAGCTCAGGTGGAACAACATCCCTGGGACACTTTGAGGACTGGTGATTGACAGACTTGAGCCAGGTAATTTAGTAAGATAATAGCCATGCTTGCTGACCGTCACAGTGTTTCTTGTGCAGTGTTTCTGATTGCCCACCCCTCTCCTGAATAACAGTTAATGAAAGAGATTTATGTAAAAAAAATATTTTTGTTAATCAGACTTTTATGAATTTCTTTGTATTTTGAGAAATTAGAGATATTCTGTTGTAAGTCATCTGTTGAAGAGAAAGGCATAGAAAACCAACAGTTAAAAGTTAGAGGCAGCAACTTGGGAGCCTTGCTTATTTAGCGTTTGTGATGATGTAAAGGGATTTCTGAAAAACAGCTCCTTGTTACAGTGACTTTCTCTGAACATTAAAGGTTTGTCTTCACTTCACCATGCTGATGTTATCATGGTATTGTCAGGTAGTTTTTATTGCTTGTGCTTTAGACATTACAGTAATTGTACAAACTCCACACAACAAAGGAGACTCATCTAGCATTTCCTTTCCTCAAGAGAATAAGAAAAAGTGAATCACTTTATTTCTTTCAAAATCTTCTTCTGTACATTTCAGTTAAGGTTAATTATTGAGGTTTTCAAGTACACCAAATGTACTGTTTGACAATTAATACCTTTTAAGTCCTAAAAAAAGAGTTACACACTTTATAGTAAATATACTGTGGACCATTCTCAATGTTTTGAGTGTACTCAAGAAACTTTATTTTAATTTTATGTAACAGTAAAAAAAATGTATTTTTTAATTAATGTTTTACGTTCAGTTAAAACATGTTTATTAGGTAATTTAAAAATGTGACACCAATTGACTAAATGAGACAGGTAGTTTTAGACAGGAGTTAAATCCACTGATAACTACCCTGTTATTCCACAACTTGTGAGAGTACAGTTATCACTGTGATCTTCCACATACAGAAAATGCAGAAAACAGAGAAAATAATTTTAAAGCCTTCTTATTTCAATACAAAACAATACAAAACATTAAACTTAATTTTATATACACATACAGTTGCTTCTGTGTTCTATTCTGTGTTCTATTAACAACCATGCCTTTTTGTATTGTTTTTTAATTTTGAGACAATGTGGTAATGTCATACTTATGGAAGCCTGTTTCCGCCAGGGAGTAAAAAAAAAA